TTCCCACAGAACAAAACCAAAATTCAACCCCCCCGATACTCAGACCACCTCTGTCGGGTATCCGGTCAGTGGTCCAGCGGCCACCCCCAATGAGAGAAGGAAGAAGTGCCTCGCCAAGAAGGCGCAACAACAAGCCACAGAAGCGGCCTCAGGCAGTGAGAGACGCCCGGGAGCGGATCAAGGGACCCGCTCGAAACGATACGGGTATGTCTGTCCTCACGCCAACGGTGATGGTGAGAGTGGTAGCAAGCGGCCGAGTGCATGCATTAGAGTAGTAGCTAGTCTAATAAAGACCACGCCTGCACGCACACTGGACTCAAGAGTCGTCGACGAGTTCGACAATTTGCGGTTGGAAGACCCAACATTTTATAAGTCAAGCGCGGTTTCGCTGATTTTCGGTGCTGACGTATATGGCATGATTCTCCGGCTAGGGCTTATGACAGCAACCTCAACACGACCAGCTGCCCAGAACACACTATTTGGATGGGTGATCTGCGGTTGCTGACCTGCGGCGAGGGAGTCGAGAAGAACTTTTAGTTTAAGAAATGAAGTTGAAAAACAAAAAAATAAATAAGAATGAATTGTTAATTATTTTAATGTATACGAGATGTTTGAATTGCGATCTAAATTTAACTATTAAAAATTGTGAAATCTATATATTGATATATATATTTGTAATGTAGTCATTTTTTGCAGAGTTGCTGCAAGGCGGGCGGCATGTTTACGCGGGCAACCATGAGCAGCGGCCATATCCTCTCCCTAGAGATGTCGCTCCTGTCTTCTGTTCTCGACTAAGTGACTCTTCAAATATATGGGAAAAGTCCAGTTAGTCCAGTTAATCCCGTTTAGGATTTTCACCTTTTGTGGAAACCTTTAAAAGGCCAATGTTGCCGGCCTGAAGCCCTTCTTTTGATCCAGCAGCCATAGCAGCTACATCTCAGTTGAGAGTATTTATATATGTTAGGTAGGTTTTTCATACATATATACCTAAAACTTTTTAATATCTTATTTAATAAATTTAATAGTTTGAGGTCCACTAACGTAGGGGGAATCCTGCCTCTTTGAGAGCCTCTATCAATTAATTCCGTGTGTGAATGGCGGTCTCGCAATCGTGTGCACCAGCAAGGACGTCATCATTATACATATGTTGCTTTAAAACCTTGGATGCTAGAGGGTACTTCAAGCTAATATCTTCTGCCAACTGAAGTAGAGTCCTTATCGCTAGGTATTGGGCCCAGTCGACTCCGATAGTCACGGTTTGTAGCTCATAATCCATTAATTCCTCTTCCACTGATTCCCTAAATAATATCCTATGAAACCTAGTGTCCTTGGGATGCAGCAAGATTTCCCGATACATCTTTTCAATATCAGCGTTGAATACATATTTGAAAAATCTCCATTTCAATATCAACGCGATAAGGTCGGCTTGAAGAACTGGACCAGGATGAAGTATGTCATTTAAACTTATCCTATTGGATGTTGGGTTTGATACATTAAACACCACTGCATGATGCGGCAGGTAATAGGATCCTGGACCTTGGTTTCCAGATGTGCTGTCCACTAGTTTCATATGGCCGAGAGTTATATATTCTCGGACTACCCGATTGTATTCTGCCTTAAGTTCAGGCTTTCGCACCATAGCTGCCTCGTTTCTCAAAAACTGCTGCATTGCACCGGTCCTCGAATATCCAAGATTTATGTCGACTGGGAATTCATGCCTAAATGGGAGTCTCATCATATATTTTCTTTGTCCGGTCCTCGTTCTTGTACTCACATACCGGTGCTCTCAGACTGCTTCCTCAAGAGTGGTCTGTTTTTTACTTGGGACTTGTTCTAGCTCCCAAAACCGAGTGAGCTCAGAGCTGAGACTTCGGTTTACATAGAGACGTATGATATTATACTTATGTTGGGGGTTTGAGGTATTGGACCTGTTAAGATCCAACCAAAGACTGTCTCCTGTGCCAGAAGGGAGCCTAAAACATTCTTCTTAACGTTTCCTATCATTATTTGCGCAATCCGCACTAACTACCACTTCCACCTCCTGAATTTTATTAAAGTTGACATCAGCTAAATTAATTGGGAGCAGTAGACTAAAATCCATTTTGTCCACTGTAAAGTGGGGAGGTTTCCTGTCAATTGAGGGAGAATCAGGCCCCTTGCCGCAATTCTAATCTGGTCGTTTACAGGAGACCCGTATACAAACTGTGCGACTTCTCGCACCTTAGCCGATGTCGACGCATTAATACCGCTTATCTGCATGTCAGCAGGCTGTGTTGGCAGTTTGATACGTCGTTGCAATCGGTTCGTTATTAATGTGCATTCTGATCCCGAATCAAGAAGAGCCCTTGCCTCATATTTCACTCCTGAGTAACAGATATGTACCATAGCAGTACCTATTATAACATTTTTCGCGTTTCTTGAAAAAAGCGCGCTGACGATCCTAGATGTGGTTGGGGGTTGAGCATGCCTGGCCTCCGTATTTCCTGATTCCTGCCGATTAGTTGAAGTCGATGGGTTATTCCCAGTTGGGTTCCGGTGCAGCAGTGAATGATGCCGTTGATGGCAATCTAAACAGCTAAAGGTGCTCTTACAATCTCTTGCTAAGTGCGAATGAGCTAAACAATTCATACATAAATTGTATTTTCTAGCCACTTTGACACGATCGTCAATTTCATGGCCAGACATTTCGATCACGCTTTTAGCACATGAAGTTCCTGTGGGCAGAGTCTGCAAGTAGGCTATGGAAATTGAGTATGATGAGCAGCTACCTTCGTTCCATATGATAATACTGGACCACGATTTTGCATTGTCCGCGACAGTCTTGTGCTTTGAATGTCTGAAACAGTTTCCAGCGTCTGAAACCTGTTAGTTAAAAAGTGATCCAGTTCCTTCCACCTCGGGATTTCGGTCTTGTGGACGATTCCTTGCTCCCATAGGGCTAATGTGGTGTCCGGTAACCTACCATACATCTGGAGCACTGAGATGCAATTATTTACTGCTCGTTCTAAATTTTTTATTTCCACGCCGCGTTCGACAGTAACAGTTGGTAAGTTGAACAACTTTTTCAACTGACTATTTACCATCACCCTATTTTTGTTTTCGTAGCGTTTTCGTAGCGTTCCGACAAATTCTGCCACGCGGTTATAAACCCATCATTGGTCAATGGGGATTTCTTCACGATGTCCTTTGCTTCCCCACGAGTCTTATGGCTCGAAGGACCATATTTCGTATCGGGGCTAATTAGGGGCCAGAATTCCTCTTGATTTCCGGCAACGGGGATCGGGGGAGGTGCCGGTCCTTCAGAAGGCTGAAAACCTATCTAAATGCCTGTCGCCAAGCTCTCAATAAAACATTGGTAGGATTAGTATAACAAAACATTAGCGTTTATTAAATAAGATATATGGAAAACCTACATAACACATATAAATACCCTCACCTGAGATGTTGCTGCTGTGGCTGCTGGATCAAAAGAAGGGCTTCAGACCGGCAACATTGGCCTTTCAAAGGTTTCCACAAAAGGTGGAAATCCTAAACAGGACTAACTGAACTAACTGGATTTTCCCATATATTTCAAGAGTCACTTAGTCGAGAACAGAAGACAGAAGACAGCAGCGACATCTCTAAATAGAGGCTACTGCTCAGGGTTGCACGTGTAAACAGAGATAATTTATATGATCTTCCGTTTTCTGTTTAATTTTTTTTATTTATGAAAAATTAGTTTAATAAAATTCATTTAAAAATTTTTTATTTGGAAAAAAACACTTTTTATGGTTCTTAAATTAAATTTTTAAAATTTCCTTGCACCAGAGCTGGCTCATGCACTTGAACTTCTATTCAACTTAGAGTTATTCTAGATGGCATTATTATACAATACTCTACAAGCAATAATTATTATTGGGCTAAGCGAAGTTCTCAATTCAAGGATAGTGATGGAAAACGGCTTTTCCATCCTCCATATCCTCTCTAAATGCAATTTCACGTTCAATAAAATAATGCTGTCCTGTCCAGGTCAACTGCATATAAAGTTCCTTATTTCCATTTTGCAAGAGACCTTTCTTCGATTGGACTTGTACAGCCCATTTTTGTGGCACTATTTACCACCTGACTGGCTGTCTTGCCACTTTTATTCCGCACAAACCAGCAAAACAAATTAAAAAACTTCCCGATGAAAAAGTGCGTAGTGCTTAAACCAAAATATCCGCAGCTTTATTCCTGCTAAATTAATAATAAATTATCAACAATATTATTTGCTAAAAGCACATTATTTCTACAATGACGCAGCCGGTCAGTGCTTTCATAATTGCGTCTTTATGTCTTTTCCAGCAAATGGGGGGATCTACAGTATATACTCAGCCGCCTCCGAACGGCTGATTGGCGATCGTATTTTGAAAAACTACCTTCACTTTTTATTTGAAAAAAATTGTTTATAACTTTTTGGCTGTTAGTACAACAACAAGATTTAAACTCGAGCCTCCCGTATGGCAGTAAGCAATACTAACCCCTCGGCTACCGCAGCTGCCGGCAGACCAAAACATAATAAATGGAAGGGTCATAATACACTACTTCAACGTCCACTTTAAATGCTATGTCAGCAAATATTTGGCTGCTGAGCGGAACCGCGGAAATGAATAGCACCTAGAAATTTTAATAAATTGAATCAATACTGAGGACTCATGTTTGTATTGATTCGAATTTCAGCTAAATGAATGGTAAGCCTTATCATTAGCAGGATTACAAACTGCTGTTTAAATATTAATTGCGATAAGGTAAACGGCATTAGGCATACTTCTGAGGATAGAGGAAAACAATTCTTTGATAACGCTAAACCCTTTCATGACGATTCTGGAACCACCGAACAAAAAACCATAATATTTTAAATTCCTGAAATTAAGTTGGCACAGCAAAATGCAAACAAAATATCGATGATAACTATAAAACACTTAAAAATCTGTGGATAATACAACTTCGATTCTTCATATTTGACGATCACAATTTATGTTATGGTCGAGGAAACAGTTCAAAAAAGCCGGCTGCGCGTTAAAATTGCTCTACCAAAGTCAGTTTTTCTCTTTTCCGTAACAGAATCGTATATGCGACACTGTGGCGAATACCCGCAATATCTGGAACTTTTCTCAAAGCATGAAATTACTGACAGCGCACTACTACGCGTCAACGATTATTCACTGCAAAGGATGGACATAAGTCACAGTGGTGATCATGAAGCAATTTTCGGTAAGATATTAAAACAAGGGCATAAAACTGATATTATGGAAATACGTGATATGGAACGTTAAATCAATGCTTATTACAATTCCATATAATAACAGCCTTGGCCAAAAGTATTGGGCATCCCACTGAAATACAAGTATTCTCAAATGTGGCTATCAAAGTTACCACTTCTTTTGAATAAATTGTGTAATATTAAATATTAAAAGTCATTTTTAAGATATTCATGAAATTTTTTCGCATTTAAAATTTGAAAGTAAAAGTGTAAATTACATTTACTGAAAAGTTACCAATCTTATAAAAACAGTTCCGAAAGAGGTGAAATTAGTTACGATGATAGAGTTAGAATTCAAGTTCTACGTGAAGAAGGAAAGTCTCAGGTTGAGATTGCCAATTTGGTGCAATGTGCTATCTGGCGGCTTGTGGAGACAAAATCCCACAATAATAAATCAAAAAGTAGAAGAAAGCTTCTAACCAGTAAACGATAACACCGAATACTTATACGCGAGTCTCTCAAGGATCGCAATAAATCTTCCCCTACCCTGGCAGCAGCCCTTTCGGATGAATTTAGTAAACCAGTTCGTGTCCGAAAGAAGCCATGGCTTTCAGAAAAAATAGGATAAATCGTTTGGAAGGGGCTGGCCGATACCAACATTTCAGGGAAGAAGATTGGCGGAATGTTCTGTGGTCTAATGAATCAAACTTCGAGGTAAGCTTAGTTAAGACCGTCTTAAAGTATTAACAGCCATAGCTTCTTACCCTAGAACAGTTTTGAAGACATAATACAAATCTTATGAAGACATTATTTTTTCTTTTCTACAGATATTTGGAGCACCTGGTGTGACGTTCGTGAGGCGACGGGTTAGGGGAAGAATATCATGCACATTGCGTGGTACCCACTGCTAAGCATGGAGGAGGCAGCATTGGCAGTCAAAATACACATATATGTATTAGAAGCTGTTTTTCTGACTTTTTAACGCGCATTTTCGGCGATACTAATTTAGACGGGGTTAAATTTCAGCAAGACAATGCTCCTTTTCACAAATCAGCGACTACGATGCGTTGGTTTAGAGACAACAACATTGTTTTGTAAGATTGGCCTGCATAGTCTCCAGACCTTAATCCCATTGAGCACGCAAGATTAAGCAACACAGTATAACATCAAAAACTCCCTTAAAGAATGTCTTAAATAACGAGAAAATTGCAGCCGTTATTAAATCGAAGGGTAGAACTACTAAATTTTAATGGTATTATAACTAATTCATTTTATTTTCACTGTTTTACTAATAAAACTTCATTACTTCACTCGTTAAAACAAAATATTCAGTAATTAGTGGGGTGCCTAATACTTTTGACCAAGGCTGTATATTCAAAATACACAAAATTTTTTGGTTTTTACGGAATTTACAGAAAAAAAAAAAAAGATTTTAAGACAAAAATGTTTCTGATACAGCATACATACTTCACTGCGAATACGTATGCACACCAATTTTCTGCTAAAAAAAAATAATATATTTACATAAATACATATATACGCGTATTCTAATCATATATTATATAAGGTGGCGGGGTAGATTAGCAGCCCTTATAATCTTAAGTTTTTAAATGTTAGTGAAAATGATTAAACAGGCGAACAAATTGTATATGTTGTCCAAAATGAGTATAGCATACATTATTCTTTTTTGAAAATCTTACATAAATATATATGGAATTTTATTTTATATATTGCATGTTAATACATATTAGAACTCTGCATCGGCACGCCTTTTCTCATCTTCGGTAAGCCTGCACCGTCAGCGCTTCAAACCGAGCAAGCAGAGTGAAAAATATTTTCGGCACTGAGTACATATGTAGTTGACCTTAGGAGTTTTATTGCCTTCTGTACCGAGCAAAGCGAGTCTTATGTCTTGCGGTAACCAAAACACTTTTTGGAGTGTTTCGATTGGATTAATTTGCAATAATAGGGATTGAAGCAATTGCTATTGTATACGTTTTGTATTTTTTTTCAATTGCGTTATATAAAATATTTTGATCATATTATTTTTCTGAGAAGGTTTTAAGTAAACGTATTGTAGAAATTATTTCATGATATTATTTTTTCACTGAGAATTATTATTATACAATTTGTATGTTTTCTTCAAAATACTGAAATTTCAACTTAATAGCATGAATAAACATGTTTAAATTTCCCATTATATTTATGAAATGCCCTTGATACCAGAAAAGATGGTAGTTTCACAATATGTAAATTTGGTAGAAAAAAATTTGTTGACATCATCATCTTATTTTCATTTTAATTTCAAGATATTGCCACTTTTAAAACATTTTCTATATTTTTTATAAAAGAATGCCAAGCTGCCTGAAAATATAATAATTTTATGATCATTTGATTTCAAGAATTGCTATACAAGAACTTTGAGTCGCTATTACCTCGTACGTTTTATTTTTTGTTACTTTTATGTTTACATGAAAATTATGTACCCATAATAGAATAAATAATACAAGTTTTGATTACTAACCTCATCAATATCCATTGTGTTAATAATTTTAACACGTTGACGGACACTTGCGTCTATAGCCGTCAAAGCGAAGTTCACTTCGTGGCATGACGGCGATAGCCGTCTAAAACGAAACGGTCGTTTACAGACACTGCGGCGATCGCAGCACAAATGTGCATTTACCGGCGTACAAGTAGAAGCCTATTGTCGTGTTTTGGAAAAAATTTTTTAGGTTGAATTTTGTTTTCCATCTGTTGCACGACTTGCAGCATCAGTACGCATGTTGTTGCGAAGGGAGTAGTGCGATCGTGTTTTCTATTGAGTTGTGTTGTGTTATTGATCATTATTTATTGTTTATACTGGTAAGTATTTGTTTGTTATTGACTTTACGCTTTAAATAGAAATAAAGTTTAGCGTATTTTGATACATAAGAAATATTTGTGGGTATACTGCTTACTTTTTGTTTTTTTTATGATTTTGCAATTGAAATATAAATAAATAATAATATAAAATAATATGTTTTATTCAATATTTACATGTTATGGCCGCAACCTAATTAAAGGTTCTGAATTATTCAAAATTAAGTTTATTTAAGCAGAAATAGTAAAACTATACTTTAAATATTCTAAAAATTACAAAAACACATAGTGTCAATTTTCGAACTTTACTTGTTCCTTCTGTCCGTCAATGTGTTAATAATGCTTATGACATATACCTACATATATTTGCTGTACTAATTTGGAGTCGTTTTGAGTCTCTCGCTGAATTTGGATTAGTTCGCAAATTTTCATAAGCTCGTGAGAGCGGTACCGTATATTTACTCTGCCGGCGCAAGCGAATTTAACAAGAAAAATTAGAGCTTGCTCTACTCTGTTTGGTGCGTCGCAGAGTCGTACCGTTTTTTTTTTTTTGTTGTGTTGTTTAGCTCGCACGATGGGAGTTAATGAGTAGCTTACCAAATGGGTACGCTCATGCAGCGCTCTAAAACATATATACGATTTTGAAATACCCAAATTTTGACAAACCTTTGTTCTTACGACGGACTCAGCTGATTGTGCCATTGGTGCAATTCTATCACAAAGCTATGCAAAAACATGATATAAGCAAACTAATAATGGAAACAGAATTATTAGCAATTGATGGGAGAATAAACCAATTTAGAACATATTTATAGAGCAGAAAATTCTTAGTTGTGACCGACCACAGCCCATTAGTGTAACTATTTTCCCATAGAAATCCGTCATCAACAAGTCAATAGATAGAATAGATAGATAGTCACGGATAAAATTAGAAAGGTATGATACCCACAATTCAAAATGAAATAAAAGAAGAAAATAATGATATAATAATAGAAAACATATTCATATTTTAACAAGGAGTAAGGCCGCACAAATTAATAATGAAAAAACGCATGCAATTAAAAATAAGAAAATAATGCGCAAACAAGAGAAGTTTCGTATTTGGGAATGTATATCTTTTAATGGCATTAGAAATCTAAAAAGATTGAAATTTAAACTACATAGTTCTATGCACAGTTCACAGATAAAAGAGCTAGCCCTTTGTGAACAAGAATATATACTGAAGAGTTAAGAAAGGAAGATATTTCAAGAAAAACATAATGATCTCGAGAAAAATAAAAGCGTGCCAATAAAAATATTAATATATAAAGCTCCAGTACAAATAAATAGTCGTAGAAGGTAATATATAGAGAAACTATTTGCAATACTTCCTTTTAATAAGCTTAGATACCGCTAACGCGATTATAGCCGAATCAATATTAACGCGCCATTCTTTCATCTCTTTCCGCTGTTTGACGCAAGTTGAAAATATCAAGCACCACCTCATCCTTCCAACGGAGCGCAGGTCTTCCTCTTCCTCTGCCTTCCCAGCTGGAACTGTGTCGAATATTTTCAAAGCAGGAGTGCTTTCATCCATTCAGGCGACATGACTTAGCCAGCTTAGCCGCTGTCTCTTCATTCGCTGAACTATGACAATATCATCATAAAGGTCGTACATCTACTCGTTCCATCATTGACAATTCGCAAAAAGCCATAAATCTTTCGCAAAACTTTTCTCTCGAAAACTCCCAGCGCTGAATCATCAGATGTTGTCATTGTTCACGCACCTGCTCCATATAGCAGGACGGGAACGATAACGTGACTTGTAGAGTTTGGTTTCCATCCGTCTTTACTTTTTAATTGTGCATTACTCAGTCCGAAGTAGAACCTCTTGGTAAGAGTGATTCTGCGTTGAATTTTTAGGCTGAAATTATTATTGGTGCTAGTCCGAAATTTTCTACGAACTCGAAGTTATGACTGTCAACAGTGACGCGGGAGAGAAGTCACGAATACGATGACTGTTTCTTTGATAACAAGAGATATTTCGTCTTGCCCTCATTCGCTACCAGATCCACTCGCTTCTTTATCTAGTCTGGAAAAAACAGAAAAAACAGCGCGGGTTCTAAGGCCCAAGGTATCAATATCATCGTCATACGCCAATGGTTGCACAATCTTTTTAATGTTCTCCCGCATCAAACTAAAGTCAAGGTCTTAAGCCTCGTTTGGTATCAT